AAGTTTTTTTTTGTGAACTTAGATAATGCTCCAATTTTCATTGTGATAAAAATCTGAAAAAGACCATTGATAATAATCATTACTAAATAAATATGGACTAATCATGAAGAAAAAACTCTCTGATAAGGGACTAATCAGTGCGAAGGGGGAATTCTCTTATATAGGACTAATCAGTGTGAAGAAAGAATCCTGAATCCTCTGATAAGAAAATAATCGGTGTGAAGAAAGAATCCTGAATCCCCTGATAAGAAAATAATCGGTGTGAAGGAAGAATCCTGAATCCTCTGATAAGGAAATAATCGGTGTGAAGGAAGAATCTTCTGATAAGAGACTAATCGGCGTGAAAAATGAACCTTCTGATAAGGAATTCTCTAATAGGAGACTAATTAGTGTGAATGAAGAATTTTCCGGTGATTTTAAATTACAGCTGTTTTCAAAAGGTGTGAACAGGTGATTTTTATAACATATACCCATATGGGAATCGGGAAATCAGAAATCTTATAAACTTTTTATAATAAATTATAATATGTATTATTTTGTTTTTATTGTCATATTTAATATTAATGGCGGATGCACTAGATACAAAACTTAAGTACAAATAAGAAACTTGTTTTAGTTAATGAAAGTGTTTATATTATAAAGCTGATTTACAAACCAAAAATACAACTGTGATATTACAAAAATACCTCATAGAAGTAATCAAACTGAAGCTGTCAAATATCCATATACACATTTTTATACTCAATTTGACAGCTGATCAAGTTTCTTTTGTTTATAAAAAGATATCACAATATAAGAATTTAATAACCCCTAAAAGATTCCTTTAACTTTTCACTTTGTTTCATGTAATAATCGGTTATTAAATTGGATTAAAAACAAATCATTTGCCAATTCTAAATTTATATTTTATTCAAAAAAGAACTATAATTTTTAATTAATTAATAATTGATTTGTATAGCGAGATCATGTAATATGTATAAATACTACAGTACTTTAAACGATTACCATTTTTTATGATTTTTTTTTAAATTTATCATAATTCAATTAAAACAATTTATTTTTAACTTAGTTAAGTATTCTTTATTGAACTATAGAAACTATATCTATCAGGAAATTGATGAGAATCTTTTGCTATCAGAAGCGAGGATCAACAAAAGAGGAAATATCACGAATTTCCCTTTTTGAAAACAGCTATAAATTTTTTATGAGGTTTGCATGCATAGTCTGGATATAATTCACTATGAATTGACATTACTTCCGCTAAATAATATTTTACATAACTTCTGCATTAAATTTTTTAGATTATAATAATCACACTCATAATAATAATAGAACAAATATATACCTGTCAACTCTGAATATGTAGATTTCACTTCCGTTGGTAGAGTTTTCCAAATTTCACTGGTGTATTTACTTAATTTGGGCATACTTAATTTTTCGAAAAGTTGAGGGAATTGGGACTTAAATTCCAACTTAAAACAAAATTGAAAAAGAAAAAATATGTTTAGCGGGCGAGGAGGTGATGTGTTGTTTCTGATACGTTTGTTTCTAATTGACATCAATGTAAAAGCATCATATTTATCCTTAGGATAATATACATAAAAGAAATTAAAAGTAGCGGGAATTCCGCTAAAACTAAGGTACTGTACAATTGTGATTGCGTCATTTTATGTCGGAAAAGATTTGCCAAAAGAAATATTTTAAAAATAATAAATACCCAATTTTTTTTGACAAAGAAAAAGGTCTTATCCTCACTCTTTAAATGGTTTTTTTAACAAGTATCTTAATAACTATCAATTATATAAATCCTTTTCCGGAAAAGGAATCTTATTATAAACGCTAACAAAGGTCATACTTTTTTCTATCGGTCTAGACCAACCATACATAGTAAACATATCTTACACTACATTATCAAATGCAGAAAGACCATTACACCGCATAAACTTATTTGTGAAACTGCATAAAATAAATTAACTATGTATACTGTAGTATTAAAATATATAGTAGTATTTAACTAATTATTAAAATTAGATATATTTTGTTTTTATTTTTTTAAAAAAAGATTTTTATTAAACAAACATCTTGGTTAATTCTCTTGAAAAGATAAAATTATAATTTTTTAAAAAGTTGTTATTATTCTATAATTTACATTTTCTAAATCTAATATCATATTAATTTTAGACAAATTATATTTCTACACCTCTTTTTTGATATTTTTATACTTCCACTTTTTTTAAACCTTTAATCAAAGATATCTTGACAACTACCTGACCAAATCCAATAAAATCTTTTTTTATTAAAATTTTACAAGTTTGTAGAATTCAAATAAAAAAAAATTTATTAAAATTAGTCAGGTGGTTATCAGATATCTTCAATTAAAGTTAGAGAAAATTTTGGCACAATTATTATTTTGATAGACATTTAGATTTTTTTAAACTTTAATCAAAGATATCTCACAACCATCTAACCAAATTCAATAATTTTTTATTTAAATTCTATGTGTCTGTAGAATTCAAATAAAAAAAATTCATCAAAATTAATCACAGTATAATGAAAAGAAGTTAGGATTAGGGTTCGTTTTTAGAACCCAATCAGGAACAGTACTCAAATAAATTTTTTTTTTAACTTCATCAAGATCGGTATTGCCGGTCCATCAGGAATAGTATTTTTGCCCTGGAAAGTGAAAATAATTACAAATACAGGCCCAAATTAAATATAATTACATATAAGGGCCTAATTTTTAAAAAATATTACATTTAAGGGCCCAAATCTATTGATGGCTGAAAAAATGTGATCACGGCCACAAGGTATTATGACCATTTGAATTATAACGATTGCAAAATCGCGATTATAAGATTATCGATTGTTTTATTATAGGCATTTAGAGCTATCTATACACCGATTATTAGATTTAAGGATAAATGGAGCGCTGGTTATAATCATTTTCACTTAAATACTGTATAAAAAAGTAGAGCTAAACTAGCACAATTATTTATAAGGTGAAGAAGTTTCAGCAGAGCAGCTCTTTAGAGCTAAACAAACATCTTCCATATTAGTAAATGTCATGCCAATTCGCAGTGCTTTACTTGACATCATGATAGTTTGTTATAACCAAAAGTAATTTTATACAAAGAAAATTAAATTTATTAAATTTAAAAAAAAATTCTTTTCTTACTAATTTACAATCGAT